ACTGCTTTTAATGGGATGAAATGAATGAATTCAGTTTGTGCCTCGCTGATGAGAGACTTCAACCGCTTCCTGTTCTGATGATCAAATAGCTTTTTGGATTTGATCGATGGATTCCTTTTTACGTCTTGGACAGCAGCTAAGCAGCCTGTCAAACCCGTCCTGCCTGTCAGGAAAACGTCTGCCCGTCCTGACTTTAGAAGAGCAGAGAAGACTCTGTTTGTATTGATGAAATGCAGCAGCTTTATTGGCCTTGCATGAGAAGACCCGTAGCTAATTGGTCACTAAACGCTTAAATAAATCTGTTAATATGCTTCCTTTGGGCACCCATTTTATTTTTGATGATTTGAGGCAGATACTGAACAATCGTTTGTACCCATTAGCAGCAGTAAATCACATCTTGGTTGTACCATTCGGTGTATTCATGCAGAAATGCACTACTCTTGCCCATTAGATATTTCAGATTGGCCTGAGGACCGTGACAAGGTGACTTGACGTGGCACCATCGCTCCCTTCTAATTTGAATGTCCTTCTCTTTGGTTTTGCTATTAAAAGAAAGTCATGTCCTCAGCCGATTGTCTTCACTGACGTCTGGTTTATGTTGTTGGTGTAAGCTGATGATTGCGAGCCAGTTATATCCCTTTTCAGAGACTAACTCCCACAGCTTAGCGTAATTCTGATTATGTATTGCATGATTAACTAAACAAGAAATTAGTCAGTTGTGGTCCAGCTTGGAACAAACAGCATTCCTGGCAAGGCTGCTGCATGAGTATTAACTGTCAGTGCAAAGATTTGGAAGCCCTCAGAGACCACCGCAGAATGGCAAAGAAGTGTCTCAGTCTTCTTGATGTCAAAGTCAAAGCACTTGTAGATACCAGGGTGTTTGTGTCACTCCCAGCAGGAAACTCATATGAAAGTGAAGACTTCAAGAACTGTTGAGCTTATTCATTTAACATGTCAATTATCTTATGAACAAAACGCAGACATGTTTGGTTCTTTTTAACCTCTTAAGCCCCAAGCCTACCTGATCTACTGCTTTTTGCCCCCGTATCAGGGGGCGTTGGGGCTTAAGAGGTTAAGCAGTTCAGAAAGCCAAAGCATCACATACACATAAAATTGTTGTTGTCGGTTCATCATTGCAGGAAAAACTTAAGCCCAATATCCCCTCATAGTTTACCACACTGTAGAAGCAGGAAATAAACAATATGCAAGAATGCGACTACATCAGGCATTAGTAGTTAGTACCACAATACCAGTCGAGTTACACAATTGTTGATGCCTAATTTGATACCATGCGGATACACAGATTGCCGAATGCGTGCGAATAATCTCAGACTAAGTTATAAACACAGACAGACTGCCAACTCTTTGGAGTCTGTGCCGATAGCACAACTCGCCTGCAGCGCTACTCTTTATAGTAAGACACTCAACTCAGCTGGTTGCATTTGGTTTTCCTAAATAAAGGCACGGTTGCTGAGTGTCTATGTCCTTTAGCAACATCACTATTGTGGAGGTTCCATTTAGATTCAGAATGGTAAGTAGTT